TATATGGAAAATATTGTGTGTTACGAGATTTTCTATAAGGTGAGCATAGTCTTAATCGAAAAAGCGGCAATCCTAGTACCAGTTCGTAGCGTAAAGCATTACCGAAGTTTTTTTCACATACGTAACTGAAAATTCAGATACCTGTTATTGGAAATTCAGAAACCAGTTATTGAAACTTCAGATCTTGTTATTGAAAATACAAATGACTTTTGGTACAAGGGAAGAAGAAGGTTATTTTAAAAAACTTCTACGTGCCATACTCAGAGAGAGCGTAGGCGACCTCTCGCGCATATTTGCGACGTTGAAAGCGTTCTATTGGTTGGAAATCCGTTAATTCGTCCGTTGTAGTACGAACTGACAGATATTCAATCAGTCCCTGCAAATAGGTTAAGATCTGAATGAAAGGTGAAAATCTGATTGAATTTTGGATTTTCAATAAGAATACTGAAAATTCAATCACAATGTGCATGAATTTATTTCCAACAACCAAAAACTGAATTTTCAGTTGCAAAACTTACTGAAAGGTAACTGAATTTTCAACTTATTTTTAACAGTGTAGAACAGATTCTATTTAATAGTGCTTACCAATTAACTGATCGAAGATGTGCTTTCCTACATGTGAGTCCACCGCGCTTAGAGGGTCGTCTAGAAGATAAACGTCCGCGTCCGCATAAACAGCTCTGGCTAAGCTAATTCTTTGCTTTTGTCCTCCGGACAAATTGATGCCCTTTTCGCCAATTTCCGTTTGGTCTCCATAATCCAGCATTTTAAAGTCGGGCTTAAGTGCACATGCCTCGATTACCTTGTCGTATCTAGAAACAGTAACGTTTGGGATTTGGCTGATACCTACTAGAGCCGTTTCGTCTACTTTATTTTGTCGAAAGGTTTTCCGAATGTAATATTGTCTCGAACGGTTGCATTTTGGATCCAGGCTTGTTGCGGTACATACGCCATAGAGCCCCAACTGTTAACACTGCCCGATATCTTGTCCATTTCGCCTAAGAGGGCGCTGATTAGACTGCTCTTGCCTGCCCCCACTGCACCCACTACTGCAGTGAGACTGTTCTTGGCTACTTTCATATTGATGTTCCTCAGGGTCGGCTCTTCGCCCCAAGTGAAGGTACCATTCTCCACTGTAATGGGACCGACTGGAAAAAAATCAATCAGCTCAAAGTATTAGTATAAGGAAGATGGGGCACCTACCGCTAGACTCGTGGTGGGTTACGTAAGGTTCTAGATCCTGAGCATTCAAGAAGGAGTTGATCCTGTTAACGGACACCCATGTTTGGACGAGTTGGTTTATTACGTTTGGTAGCATTGACATGGGCATCCTTAGTAGATTCAGCAAGGCCAAAGAGACGAAGGCCTTGGAAGGAGTAAGCACGTTTTTTTCGTCGATTAGCACATACGTGGCAAAGGTCAAACACGACACCTAAAACGTGTGGTTTCTGGATTTGTTCAGTCGGGTCTGGTTGGCGGTGTTTACCATGAATGGGGCACAATTCCATATGAACTGACTGCAGGCATTGAGGTAAGCCGACTTCTTCAAAGTGTTCACTTCCTTGTTTCGGATGTTTCTGATTTGTTGCTCAAAGCTCTCCTCCCATGCGTAGAGCTTCAGCACTTTCATGCCGCTTAGAATTTCGTTCATCATCTTCACTCTTTCGTCCTTGTTTTTCATTTGCTTCACTTGGAGCGTGCGTGCACGATTTACAATGTAGGTGTTCAGGGGAATTAAGCTCAACATGACAGCAACCCCTGAGAGTGTTATCAAGAGATAGTTGAAAATCGTATTAGTACATACATCAAGGGCGGATCAAGCTTTAAAGTCAGGGGGGGGTTATGCAGAAAAAATACAGTCTTTGGTTGTTTATGTAATTAGAAAAATGATTGTCGTTTTGTGCAAGGGTGGCCCAAGATTTATGCAAAATTTCATGTTTTCCGTCCCGTTTTTCGGAAGCAAAATGAGCAAGAACTGATGTATGTATTGCCGGGCGCTTTAAATAATCAACTTGTTAATTACCTGCAAACACAGCGACCCCAAGTTCCTGATAGAGGAAGTAAATGGCTAGCACGATGCTGATGGGAGCGGACCACAGCATATTGACGAACATGACCAACTCCTGGAACTTCTGGGCATCGTTGGACATTAAATTAACGATTTCTCCGACGGTCTTGTTTTTCCGTGCCGAATTGGAAATCCGCAGAGCCTTTCGGTAGATGGCTGAAGTCAAAATGGTTTTGACGTGCTGCCCCAGGACGAAGAAACGACCGAATTGAGCCGTGTTGGTGAACGTCATCAAAGCGGCCACCAAGAACATAGTAAAAGCATAGAGAATGCCTTTCCATAGGGGCTCATCGGATGCTGCGAAGGAGATGATGAGGCTGCCAACATAGTGGACATTAGTGGACGTTGGTCATATCGGGCGAGTCCTAAAGCACGTACCCCAGAATTTTCGGATTGGCAAATTGAACGACATCGCTGATCAGCCTCAAGGAAGCCCCAAAAATAAACGAGCGCCACACGCAGCTCCAAAGCACCGGCATTACAGAAGTGATTGGTTGTTCCGATGTCGATTTGTTCAAGTCGCCGGATCTTGAGC